AGGCCAGGGCTTCTGGGAGCCCCTGTCAGCCTGGGAGGGTCTTGGGTGGGGCCAGGACCCCACACTAGGTTCCTGCTGAATGCCCTCCTGACCCTGGGCCTGCAGGCCAGGCCACCGGGCTGAGGGGCCCAGATAATCTGTTTGCTGCCAGGAGCCTGCACACCGGTGGAGCCAGCTCCTCTTCCTGTGGCTGAGGACAGAGGGGGCAGAGGGACTCAAGCCAAGCAGCTGGGCTGAGGGTGGGCACCTTGGGGTCCTGGGTCCAACTCTCCAGAATGGACATCCAGAGAGGTAGAGGCAGGAGAGATGGCTTAGGAACTTTGGGGGAGAGCCTGAAGGAGACAGAAAGTGACAGGGAGAAGGAGAGAGAAGCGCAGGGTGACAGGGAGGAAGAAAGGAGGGATGGAGGGAAAGAGACAGAGAGACATAGAGAAAGAGAGACAGATAGACAGGCAGAGACAGACCAGACAGACAGAGACAGAAACAGAGACAGAAAGAAAGCTAGGAACAGGGAGGCAGAGACAGATCGTGGGGTAGGCCTCAGAACCCTATGGCAGTGCTCACACAGAGCAGACGAGGAAGCACAGGACCTGAGTTCTATGGGTGATGTCTGTTCTTCCCCTGTGGCCTTAGAGACTAGGGAAGACATGCTGCTCCCTGACAGTGGACACTGGCTAGGGCCCAGCACTGGGGTCTGGAGTGGGTGTTCCTCATCCACAGACAAGAGATGAGGGGACAGAGAGAAGCCAAGGAAGGCACTCTATGGCTGGAAGACCCAAGACTGGTAAACACCGTGAGAAGTAACGGAGAACCCCAATAAGGAAAGGCAGGGCTATGGGGTATCAGCTATGGTCAGGCGTTCTCCTGCCAGGTCTCAGGCGAGGAGACCTTTCCTGCTCTTCATATCTGCTGTCCCAAGCAAAGGTCCTGGTCATTCTGGTAGGTCTGTGGCTAACCATTGTGCCACACTACTCAGCAGGAACTCCTTTCATTCACTGTCCATGCCCCCCCCCCCATCCCTCCTGGTCACAGCAGTTCATCCAGGTAGAGGCACGGAGCTGAAGTGAGCATTGTCCAGCCCACGATAGGCATTGTGGGTCACGAGCCACTGAACAGAAGCTTTCTGGGAGGAGAGAGGGGTGGGGTGAGTAGGGTAAAGAAAGGCAAAGGAGGGGTGCAGGGAGGAAGAGTGCAAGAAGGAAGGTGAGGCTGGGGCTCACACGACTGGGTGGTAGGACCCCAGCAGCCACACAGTGGGGAGGTGGTGGCTACAGGCTCCCTTCAGCATTGCCCTCCAGCGTCCAGCTTCCACAGTCAGGAGAAGACATAGGGCAGTTGGACGTGCACTTGCCGACCCCTCCTGCCTCAGGTTCCTCATAGATAAACTGCAGGAACACACAGGGAGTTAGAGATATGCAGGTCGGTGCTGGCTGCTTAAGCCTACACCAGGGAGGGGCTCCCTTGCAGCTCAAGAGAAGGACCTTGTGGTGGAGCACTTGGGCAGGCTTAGCAGCACTTTGTGAAGACATGATCAGGGAGTGTTTCCAAACTCTTAAAAAAAAAAACCCAAAAAGGAAACTTGGAGTTTTGATGGCCCCAAGACAATGCCAGGAAGGGACAGGAGCCGAAAGAAAGTCCCAGCTTGCAGCCACAGAAGGCACAACTTCCCTGCCTGGGATGAGAAGCATGTTCAAGGGATATGAATGTGTGTGGGACAATGTTGTGTGTGTGTGTGTGTGTGTGTGTGTGATTATTCAAGGGAGGGGTACACATCTCAACTGGGGGCAATGAAAGGCTCAGGGTTCACGTCTGTTTGCAGAGGACCCTGGAGCAAATACCCTGGACTCACCTAGGACCCACTGAGAAGAGAATGCCCTGGGCATTGTCAGACTAAATCTTCCTAGAAGAGGGCAGTGCTATTACTTGGTGAAGCCTGGGGAGGCAAGGCCTCTTCTCTCAGTCACGAAGGGAAGGAATAACTGAAACTCCAGAGTCAAAGTTCTCCTCTCTGGGCTCTGCTGCCACCCAAGGAGGTAACACATTCAAGCCAAGAAACTTCTAGGCAGGTGTAGGTCCATGGGTCTGACACGTAGCAGGTTTTACAGGGGTTGGGTGACCGGGTGTGAATGCTAAGTGCTGTGAAAGAATGTGCTCGACCCAACAGGCCCCTCACCCAGAAGATGACAAGAGACCAGAGACTGGTCCAGGCTGGGAACCTGTTGAGAATCCAGCATGGGTGGGTGACATTCCTTGCCTGAAGGGATGCTCACCGCCCTTGGTTCCATGTGGATAAGAGGGACCATGACTGAGGTCAGAGTTGGGGTGACTCAGGTGTGGACTGTGCTGAAAGACTACAAACCCATCAACCCACTGCCGCTGCACCAACTGCATGGTGCTGGTGTCGTTCCTGCCACTGGGACACAGCAGAAAGGGTGCCTGAGAGTCTCATGGTGTTCTCAGGGCCCCCTGACCTACTGTGAGATAAGGAAATAAGCTTGTTCACCTACAACTAATCAGGGATTCCTGGCCCACCAATGAGAGGCCAGGCTGGAGGACTCTCCCATCATTCCTCAGTCCCACAGGACTCCCTGGATTATGAATCTAGGTGGGTGACACCCAGGTAGGATCCTCTACCTGGGTCAAGTGACGGGTCTCAGTGATCATCAAATCAAAATCTTCTACTGACTCCACTATTTCCCAGACGCTAGTACTAGTGGGTTCAAGATACGAGAGATTGGGACTTGGGGTAGGGAGCTAGCAGGAAGTAAAGGCGGTGTTTAAAGGAGAGATGGCAAGTCCTGTGTAAGTGAGCACAGAGAAGCCAACAGCTGGTACAGGTGGAGCCAGGAGGGATAGACTGGGTATAGGGAGAGTGCTTCTGGGCAGACCTGAGCGAGAGGATGATGCTGGCTGCCAACACTGCCCTGAAGTCTAGGAAGTTGAGCTGAGTTGTGGGCATAGGATTTGGGACCTGGGAAGTGACTTGAGGAGGAAGAGGAGGCAGAGTATGGGTTATAGCTGCTGCTGTTCCCAATACCTCCAATTTCCTGAGCATGGGGGATGCTTTGGGGATGATTAAACACTGAGGAGCAGACCAACAGAGAGAGGAAAGTCCCTAGGGACATGGGGGGTGGAGATGAGGAGGTTGAGGGCCTCTATTCCCTCTGAGCCTGAGGAAGGCCTAGGGACTGGGAGGCATGGGACAATCCCCATAGCTTCTACGGTTTATTAGAACAGGGGACACATCTGGTGCGAGGTGGATGGGGAGGGGGAGGGAAAGGTTAGAGAGGAAGGCTTGACTCAGACATCTCATAGAACTTGGGGACAGCTGCCCACAGAACCAGGCTTCGAGCAGCATGGGAGCAGCCAGTGTGGGAAGTTGAGAAAGCCTTCCATGGGGACAGGGACACAGGATGGGGGTGGGCTAGCGATGCTGAGGGGCAGGAGGCAAGAAGCAGCATCTGGGATGCAGCAGGGACCGGAGGCTGCATGTGTGATGTGGGTGGGCGTGTAAAAGCATGTGGGGACAGGGCTTCAGTACATGTAGCATAGCCTGCTCATTACAGGGGGGTCATCCAGGTGCATTATACTGATATAGGCTTGTGTGTGTAAATCCCAAATGTGCATCTTCTACATGAGAGCAAACCTTTCCTACCGAGTGTATGATTTAAGAAGTTCAGGGTCTAGCAAGACAGCTCAGCAGATAAAGGTACTCGCTAATATGCCTGATGACCCAACTTTGAACTCTGGGACCCAGGTGGTGGAAGGAGAGACGTGACTCCCACAAGTGTCCCTTGACCTTCACATAGGTGACATGTGCATGTACACACAGATAAGTTAACACATGTAATAACAATGTAAAAAGAACCAACAGTCTGGAAACCACAGGGGTGAGAGAGGCGTTCTGGATGGCCATTGTTCTGTTTGGCTCATTGTCTACCAGGCATGTCTATGGTCTGCCTTGTTTTAAACCTCCATGGATTGGTTCAGTCCACTCTCCCCGCCCCCAGTGGTTCTAGGTCTCCTTCTCTTTCTTAGTGGGTGACAACATCCAGGTCCCACAGGACAGGATCCTGCCCACACGCTCGTAGACCAGTTTGTCTTCGACTCTGTACCCAGTGCTTACCTAGACTGACACCACTCGCACCATCTGGAAGTGCAAGAGGACTGTCAGGTACCCTTCTGGTCCTGGCCCAAACTGCAGCGATGTACTCACCTTTTGGTTCTTGGTTCTTTAGTTTCAGTTTATCAAGGAGCCTCAGCATGAATCAGAACCAGATAACCATTCTATAGACTTTAGAACGTCATGTACGGAGCTTGCAGTATCCATGGAGACCTCACACCTCCCAGAGGCCACTCTACCCAGTATGACTTTTACTTAAACCAAATCTACTAGTCTCAGCCTGCTCACAACACTGTGGTAGCCAAGTCACTTAGACACCAAAATCCCAAAGGGCCTTTGCGGCCCCATCATCCCTCCATGAATGTCCCTTCCCCCACCCCAACTTAAGTGCTCTTCTAGCCTCACCTCTGCTAGGATGCCCTCCAGGTACCCATTTGCTCTCTTCACTTCCTCAGAGATTCTCCAAGGATCTGACTGGGAAAGCCAACCTGTGCCTTCTTCCTATCTCTGCTTGTGTGAGGCCCCACAGAAGCAGACAACTTTTTTGCGCCCTTTCCTCAGCCCATTAGATAAGAATGTACTGTCCTGTTCCTGTGGGGATGCCCGGCACTTAGAATGGTCCTGACTCATATTCAGCAAATTCCTCTTAGATGAATGAACGAACATCTGGCTTCCCGGCCACATGGTGCTCAGCCTTGCATATGAGGCCTGATAGCCATCCTCATCCCACGTCCTCTCTGAACCCCACATCTCAGAGGCTCTATGCAACATAAAGCCCTAGCCCCTCTGGCTTAGGATGAACACCTATTGATGTTCCACCTGATAACAGGGCAGTCTCCTAGCCGCCCACTAGCCCGCCACACAACCCCAGCTGTACCTTCAGCAGCCACTGCGTGTTATTCGCTAGTATCTTCTCCAGCTGGCTCACACGCTGGGCCCGCTGGGCTCTCAAGTCTGCTGGGGGCAGCCTGGAGGCAGGCAAGTCCCCCTGGAGGCTGTTGGTCTCAGGTGCCACAGGCACCAGCTGGCAGAGATCAGGCTCCGGCAACACAAAGGTGTAACTGCACTGGCCGTGCTGGACCCGGTAAATATTGCGGCGCCCACCGGCTGACCCTCTCTGCCGGGCTGTGGTCATGGTGGCCAGCAGGAGGAGGCCACCTAGCAGCATGGTTGGTTGGCAGAGCATCTCAGAACAAATGGTGATGAGAAGATCTTGTCAGAGGTACCAGGGTGGGCACCCACCCACAGCCAGCACTTGCCCAGATGTGCTGTGCAGCTGGGCAGCTGGGGCCTGTGAAGACAGACTGTGGCTGCAGATTCCTACTGCTATAAGTCCTGAGGGCCAGCTCTTCTGGGCTATTTATACTCAGGGCAGCCACAGCTGCTGGCTTCCCCTGTGAGGCCTCGCCTCCTTCTCCCCCCCCCAACCCCTTAGGCACCTCTGTCCTCTCTCTGTCCCTTTCTGCTTCTGAGGCTTTGATTGTTCAGTGGGGCCTGTCCTCCCTGGCCAGACTCAAGGCTGCCCATACACACACACACACACACACACGCACGCACACACATGCACACACTGGACCACAGCTCTTGCAAGGCTCCCTCCCCAGTGGGAAGCGTCTGAATCTTCTTCCTCTCCTCTCCCCAGTTTTTCCTTCCCTCCACCCCCATCCTTGTCCCCCAAAGACTGGTTCTCAAGTTTCGGCCCCTCCACCACCTTCCCCTTCTGATTCCAAGTTAGGCTTGGAACACAGGCAGTGACCCCCAGAGCAGCCTGGAGAAGGAGGGAGCAAGGCGAGGCTGGGGAAGCAGCCTGGAGACAGAAAGCCTTCCAAGCCTGGAGGAGAGTCCTGTGGGTGCCCAACACGATTGGCTCCTGGCCTCCCTTCTCCCTTGGGGCCTGGGGCGGGGGCATTCTGCCCTGTGGTGACTCTGGCTTCGTGGTGGCGCCAGGAATCAGAAGTCTCCTGGGTAGGTTGTCCCAGGACTTCCTGTTCTGGGTGGTAAGTCTTGGACTGGGGAGTATCCTGGCCAGTACCCCTAGAATCAGAGGTGGCTGACCCTAAATCTCACACTCCTGCTGCAAAACAGAGCAAAGCCCAGCTCTTGTTTGAAGAATGCTGTAAGTCCTGGCTCACTAAGGAAATTTTCAGTTTACAGTTCAAAATCTAGCCCTACCGTTTACCAGCTGTGTGACTGTCACCAAGTCGCTTAACCTCTGTGCCTTGGCTTCTTCTTGAGCAAGAAAATGCCAGTACCCACTTTACAGAGCGTGAAAGCAATCGAGTCAGGCCATGCTGTGCAGGGACACACTAGGGAGGCGTGGTGTCGCCACATGCTTGTGTTTCTCCCTCCTACGGATATTGCAGTCAAAGTCTGAGAATGCAGAGCTTTGTCCCTGGGGCCATGGCCACTGGGGACTGATAGCTGTGCTTATGGGCTGTCCTTGGGTCCTGCCCCTCAGGGTGCAGTTAGTGTACCTTCATGGTAGTGTTTCTTCTCTTTTGTATTGTGAACTCCTGGTAAATGAATGAATGGATGGATGAATGACTGACTGAATGGATGGATGGATGTATGGATGGATGGACGGACGGACGAACAAGAGCTTATTGGGGCCTGGACCCTGGGCCAGGTGTGAGGCTCTGGTAGGAAAAAGAGCTGTAGATGAGGACAGTGTTCAGCTTTCAAGATGCCTGCTTAGTGGGCCACCTCTGCCTTGCTCGCCTTGACTGCAGATGGGGCCGTGGAGGAGGAAACCTATGAATTCAGACTAGGAGCACAGCCTCATGCGTGTGCCGGATACACAGGAATGTAGACTAAAGGGCAGCCGTCATCATGACTCTTGATTGACACGCTTCTTGACCCCAATGAGGCCTGCAGGATTCCTCTCCATTTTACCACAGAGAAAACAAAGCCCGGCCCAGAGCAATTGAGTTATTTGTTCAAAGACACATAGTCTGAAAGGCCTTGCGCTGGATGGGGGTAGGGAGGGAGAGGAGGTCAGGCTCGGCAGCCATTACCTTCCCCTCTACCCCCGCCCCTCACCAGTCCCACTGTTCTCTGCCTCTTTGCCCTGGCAGTAGGCAAGACCCTCTGCCACCCCAGCCTGTCTGCGATCGACTTGGGAAATATTCACAGTGTGAATACTCATCACACTGTGGGTTGTGATGTGGACTCCAGACGACAGTGGAAAGTCTCCTGCACAGGAGACGCCTTTGGTGATGGAGAGAACAAATGAACGAGGGAATGAAAGAAACACAGCTTCACTCCCTGCGCAGGGTTTGCCCAACAGACCCAGGGCTATGCTAACAGCCCTCTCTCAGCAGAAAGAGGTGACCGTCATACTTCACAAAAGAGCATTGGTAAGACCAGACGAAGAGCTAGGTCTCCAGTGCCTGTGCTGGGGTGGCTACCTGTCGGCCCCACTACCTGTGACACATCCTGTCTTCTCTGAGGGCCTTTGCACATGTGCACAAGGAACATTCTCTGTCCAGAACGCTGCTGCCCACCTACTCTGCCTCTCCATTCATCACAGCACCTACAGGGGGCCCGAGTGCTTGGTGGCTTTAACCACAATAACTACTTTCATCTGTCAGGTCAGGAGTGTGGGTGTTCCCTGAGGCCTTCTGCTCCAGTCCTCCCCACAGCATACTGACGGTTGGTCAGGTTTTATTTGAAGGCTTCCTCTCTCATCTGTCAGCAGCTGACCTTCCGGGTCTCTTCAGAGTCGTCACCAGCATAGTGGCTTCAGGTATGCAGGTTTCTCACGAGGCCACTGAGGGATACAGAGGCACACAGCTCCAGAGAGCCAGGTGAAAGGCCGAACTACTTCTCACCATTGGGCTTCAGAGATGATTTCAAGTGTTTCCATCAAGCTGAGCATAACACCATATGATGTCTAAAAGTTCTCAATGGATGCACAAAGAGCTTGGCTTGGGTTCCATGTGGGAGCCTGGGCTGTGTAGCTGGGCTTGCTCAGGAGCCATGATCTCCCTCTGTGTCTCTGCACGGTCCCACATCCAGCCCGCTTTGCTTTGCCCTGTTCTAGTTCTGCGTGTCCTGAGCCCACTGACTGGTCTGGCTTGTATGCAATTCTAAATGGCCTGTATGTCTCTGACTGTGGCCATGGCCAAGTGAAGTTACCTCTCTGACTCTTTCTCTTGTCTTATGGGGCTAATAGCCACCATTGCCTGATAATGTCAGTGCACAGTGCATGATAAATGACCAGCTGTCACTCCTCCCTGTGGTCTGGAGATGGACTGTCCCCAGGGTTTGTAGGTAGGCACCTATTCAAGTCTATGTATCAACTGGAAAGGCCTTGGGAAGGAGGCTAAGGGAGGAGAGGACAGGGCAGGGCCCCATGGACAGGATTAACACCCTTGGAAAGAGGTCCAGAAGGGCATTGTAAGCTTAGGGTTTGGTTCTTGGTGGTGGTGGGGGGAATTGCTGAGGAGAGAGGTGTATTGATTTTGAGTGACAGTTGGTGTTGCTGAAGTGCAGAACGTTGTTCTCAGATGGCTTTCCGGCTAGCCTCTTGCTTTGGGTTTCCTGAAAGAATTCCAGAACTGCAGCTCAATGATTTTTGCTCCTTCTCAGCCCGTGTGAACCAGAAAGCTGCTGTGACTGTCACAGAGGGAGGCCTGTCTCTTGCTGGGAAGGCATGCCAGTCTGTTTCCAGTGTGGTAACCAAGTGCTCTCTCCTGTGCACTCATGGGCCCACCCTCTCTTCTCAAGTCCAGACTGGTGGCTCACAGACCCCTGTGGGACGGTCTGACACCTGATGGGGTCCTCTGTGTGTGCTCTGCCGCCTGAGGCCTGAGGCTCACATTTCTGTATGAAGTTGTACGGAAGTCACCCCATGTACGTCCTGCAGTGCCACTTCCCTGCTTTGTCCACCCCTCTTATTACTGCTCCAATGGCCCCGGCCACAGTGTCCCTACCAAAGCACTCCCCTGCCTCGTAAAGGCTTGTGCTTGGACCCAGGCTCAGCACCCTCTGGCTGTGGCCGTTCTTTCTGCCTTAGTGCCTGGTGCCTGTCCAAGGTCAGCTTCACAGAAGCACGCATAAGAGGTTATTGAACAAATAACTCCCACCGTTGGGTAGGAGCTGGCTCAGTACAGTCCCAAAGAGGACCTTGAGTGTCAGCTTTCTCCTTCAGGGCTGGGGTGGAGGAAGATTCCATTTCGGCCATTCTAAGTGTCTGGCCTCCAAGTGTAGAAGACTAACTGACTTCTAGGTGAATTTTCATTTTGCCAGCATAGGGGTAGAGCTTGGAGAATGCACTTTTGATATTTAGCACTTCAACTTTTGCTCAAATAGTTTGTCAAAGAGAGAGTTTGGTAAGCAATACAGCTGAGAAATTAGGGTCTAGCATTAGAGATGGTTGGGTCTCGGAGCTTAGACAGTAGTAGGGATTTTTTTCCCTTTTCTCCAGGATGATTTTGTCTTTTGGATTCATCCTCTGACAGTTCCCGCCACTGACACTACTGTCTTCTATCAGTTCAGCATCCCTCAGAAATAGAAAGCCACTTTTCCAATTGCTTTGGAAACATCCCAGCTCAGGGCACATAGCTATTCCTGGCCCAGTTGCTATAGCTGGAGGACTGAATGGGCTAGTCACACTGCCCTGCATGCTAAAGCCTGGAACAGTGGAACAGGGTCTGGTCTCTGGACCCTGGTAGTCTTCCAGGAAACCCAAGGGGGCACAAAGTCCTTGTCCCACCTGTCCACCTCTGCTGGAACTCAGACATCTAAGTGAGCCATTGTGCTTCCCTGGTGAGCCTGTGGGGTCCTGGGCCTTGCCTGGCACTTATCTCACAGGGAACCGACACAGTGCTGGAGAGGAAAGTCACCACCAAAGTCAAACGCGGGCCTGAGTTGTCCAAAATAGCTGATTTTTCCGCTCTCGGGAACTCAGGTGAGAAATGAGCCATTCCTGTTAAATCGCTTGCTAATTTGGTCTCCTTAAATATCTGGAGCATGAAGGAGATAAATATCACCCATTTATATCCCTACTGATGGTCACCCTGCACCTTCCAGATGACATCCCCCAGATTCTTGCTTTTCATCCTTTGGGTAGCGAGTGAGGGCTGCCACCAACCTGGCCTCACAGTGCTACTCACCTCCCAGAGGTCATTACCTGGGCACTTCCCACGGCACTGGTGAGCATGGTGAGGTCTTGGCAGGAAGCTC